TTTAATTGATTTTTTAGAGAGAGAGGAAGGGAGAGGGAGAGAAGATAGAAACATCGATGGGATGCCTCCTGCACAACCCCTACTGGGGATTGAGCCTGCAACCTGGGCATATGCCCTGACCAGGAATTGAACCAGCAACCAACCTTTTGGTGCATGGGACAATGCTTAATCCACTGAGCCATGCCGGCTGGGTAAAAATAACTTATTTTTAAGATCATACAAATGACCCAGTATGGTACAATCTAGTTTTAAAAAAGCAAATTAAACAATGCCAATTTATATTTACATTAAAACACAAAATATTATTTAAATAATAACTGCTATCATGATGTATGTTACTATCTCTGACAGTGTTGTCCTATAAATAAAAGATAATAGTTTTTGGCAGAAAAAAAAGGTTTTGCCAGAATAAATGTATGTATTTTAGTATTATTTGATATTCTATATATAAATATTTTTAATTTTTAAAACTTGTTATAAAAATAATAACAACATGTAACAGTTTCTTTCTTCTCTAAAGCACTGTTCAGCTATGCTCCTCTGGAAAGTTTATTTCATATTAGAATTTTTGAAATTGTTAAGACGATAAACTACGATATTTTTTTCCTGAGATTAATAATGATAGGATTCAGGAAGTTGAATTCATTATTAAATTCTGCCAACTTCCTTTATCTTTCATTAATATTTATCATATGGTAAATTAAGTACTAGCCTCCCTTCACTCCACTGTGGCCTGGTGGCTCAGTTGGTTGGAGAATTGTACCACACACCAAAAGGTTGTGGGTTCAATCCCCGGTCTGGGCATATACAGGAGGCAATCAATCGATGTTTCTCTCTCACATTAGTTTCTCTCTCTCTCTCTAAAAAAAATCAATAAAAACATACCGTTGGGTGAGGGTTAAAAAAAAATACTCGTCCCCCCCAACACACCTTTGATCTTTGGTACTCTCTTCTGTACCACAATCTACAGTCCCTGTGATGCTTTAAAAATACATCTATCTTCCTTTCAAGGGGTGGAACTTATTTCCTTGCCTCTGGAGCATTTAGTGACTTATTTCTAATGAACAGAATAAAGTGGAAGGGAAGGTTATGTGATTTTTAGAGACTAGATCATAGAAATACTGTGGCTTTTTCCTTGTTCTCTCTCTCTTGGATCTCTTACTTTCTTACTTAGAGGAAGTTAGCTGCCAGGTTATGAATAGAGAGATCCATATGCGAGGTCTCCTAACAACAATCATGTGAGTGAGCCACTTGGAAGTAGATCCTCCAACCACAGTCAAGCCTTCAGATAGCTAAAGCCTTTGCCCACATCCTGACTTCGATCACATGAGATCTGGAATCAGAACCACCCAGCTAAGTCTCCAAATTTCTGACCCATAGAAACTGAGATAGTAAGTACTTGTTGTTTTAAGCTGTTAACTTTTGGGGTAAATCTAGGGTATTTTCTATAACATATGATATGATTTGTAATACAATGTCCCTTTCAAAATCAGATCTTATCAAGAAAGACTGTGCAAACTGCCATGGTATACAAGAGTCGAAAGGTTTTCCATTAAACTTAATACTTCTCTAATGTCTCTAAACTGCAAGCACCCAATGATAAAGGCTCTGTTGTCTTGATTTTATATCCTCTTAGGAGTTAAAGGATTCTTATGCGTTGTTTGCATAGGATTAGCATGAACAGAAAGTGAACTATAAATTTTGTGCTTTCAAATAAAATTTTCTTTTAAAGGGCCCCTTTCTCCCTCAGCATATCCCTCTTTCCCCTCATCTCATTTTCCAAGGTGACAATGGTTGCCATTTGCTATAATGTCCATGGGTCTTTCCCCTCTCAAATATTCTAACCAAATCCTAAACAAAATAGTCTGAAGAAAACACATCCTCAAACCACCCACCAAACAGGCGGAGGAAAGGACTGTGGGTTGTTAGTAGGAGCTTCCTTCTGTTACTAGCTCAATGACTATATAGCCAGCTCTCAATATTCAATAAATCCAACTTATTCATTCTTTTAGAATATATTTCCTCTTCTCTTTTAATCCCTTATATATCTAGTGTGCATTAGCACTTTGGTTCTAGATATATAAAGGAAGATGAGAAAGTTAAAATGTAAGACAATTGGTTTTTATTTTTACTAAATGGTTACAGTATAAGATTGAGTAGATGAGATACTGAAGGTATTAAATATGTGGTGTCACATAAATCTTTCCCCTTTTAGTAATGACAATTAAGAGAACTCACTAAATTTAGATTTATTTCTTACCTGAAGCTTTATATTGTTTCCTCTTATTGTCTGTTCACAAATAAAGTTTCAATTGATGCAATATCAGTAATTCTTTGGAAATAAGCTATCTCTGACATGATTTCTGTTACTTACGGTTAATTCCAGCATAAGTATGCAAATATATACACTGAGTGGCCAGATTATTATGACCATCCCATCAGTACTTCACTGGGCCACCTTTTGCCTTCAATACTGCGGCGATTCTTCTTGGCATTGACTCCATGAGATGTTGAAAGGTCATGCGAGGAATCTGACACCATGCCTGATGATTAGCACTGTCCAGTTCTGTGAGATCTGATGGTTGTGGAACCAGCTGTCTGATGGCTCTTTTAACTTCGTCTCACAAATGCTCAGTTGGATTGAGAGCTGGTGATTGTGGAGGCCACCTAAGCAAGGTAAAGTCTCCCTCATGTTCTTGAAACCACTCCTGCACAATACGAGCACCGTGGCATGGCGCATTGTCTTGTTGGAACAAGTCATCTCCATTGGGATATGCCATCAACATGATAGGATGAACCTGATCAGCAATGATACTTAGGTATGTTGTGCTATTCAGACGTTGTTCCACACGAATTAAAGGGCCCAAATCATGCCAGGAAAACATGCCCCAAACCATAACACTGCCCCACCAGCTTGAAGGGTTGTACTCATGCATGTGGAGTGCATGCTTTCATGCTGTTTCCGCCAAATTATCACTCTGCCATCTGCTTGATGCAACTGGAAACATGATTCATCGGACCACATGACTTTTTTCCAATGCTCAACTGTCCAATCCTTGTGTTCCTGTGTGAATTGGAGACGTTTTATCTTGGTAACTGCAGGCAGCAAAGGTGTTCGAATGGGCCTTCGGCTTTCATATCCCATATGATGCAGTGTATGGCTAATTTGCCTACAAATGTCAGGTGGTCATAATAATCTGGCCACTCACGTTCAAATATATCCCATGTTCAAAGGCTGTTAAATCGTGCTGTTTACCCATATCTTCAGAAAAAAATCACTTCTACTGTCGTGGTAAACAACCTGCTTCCCTATTTAGAATGGTCTGGCCCTCTAGCAACTTCAGCGTGAAATTATAGCTAATTTGCCTACAAACATCAGGTGGTCATAATAATCATGCCACTCAGTTTATATTATAGATCAGCCGTGGGCAAACTATGGCCCGCGGGCTGGATCCGGCCTGTTTGAAATGAATAAAACTAAAAAAAAAAAAAAAAAAAAAGACCGTACCCTTTTATGTAATGTTTACTTTGAATTTATATTAGTTCACACAAACACTCCATCCATGCTTTTGTTCCGGCCCTCCGGTCCAGTTTAAGAACCCATTGTGGCCCTCGAGTCAAAAAGTTTGCCCACCCCTGTTATAGATAAAAACATCTTACAAAGTTAAAACAAATGTAATTTAAAAAATTCTGAAGAAGGTTCCCTTTGGACACTTATTGACTGAAAACTAAATCTAAAACTTTCATAAATAATGACCAATTTAAAATAAACGAAATTATTAACATATTTTAGAGTCTTTCACATCATCCCTTTTGTTCTAACCAAGACTGCTATTTTTTTAAATATATTTTATTGATTTTTTTACAGAGAGGAAGGGAGAGAGATAGAGAGTTAGAAACATCGATGAGAGAGAAACATTGATCAGCTGCCTCCTGCACATCTCCTACTGGGGATGTGCCCGCAACCCAGGTACATGTCCTTGACCGGAATCAAACCTGGGACCTTTCAGTCCGCAAGCCGACGCTCTATCCACTGAGCCAAACCGGTTTCGGTAAGACTGCTATTTTTTAAAAAAATACCTTTTACATAGTTTGAACTGGAGATATTTTACTATCTTCAAAGAAATGTAATAATGGAAATAAAAATAATTTTGATTAAAAAATAATGGTAAATAATGAAATTTAGAAGTCTTTGAAATAGGAAAAGGATTGTAAATATTATTTACTTAAGCACTAAATTCTTTGTCAGCATTTATAATTCAGTGACTTATTATGTACTATAATAAACCAAATCATAAAATATCCTAGAAGTCAGAATCATTGTTTCTAAATTTTATCTCTTGCAAAAGAAACCTAAACGAATGCTAGTGCCACTGTCTCTTGTGTTTTTCAGCATTTTTAGATAAATGGAAATTGAAGTGAAAGTAAAGACAGCTGAATGATTCAAATAAAAAAATGATTTTGAATTAAAAAATATGAACTGGGAGATACTACAGAGAACTCATTCTAAAATTTTATTTATAGAAAATTATTAAAATCAGATTTGATGTTAAATAAAAACAGGATAGTCTCAGTTATGGGATCAGTAACAGAATAGCCCTGACACACAAAACTAAAATCTACATCATTTAGAAGGAAAGAAAGAAACACAGTGCTCTTGACTTAATTGATAGTGTAAATATTAAGTGTCCTCATTTGTTAGATCTCATTTTATTCAAAAGCTGTCTCATCCCACTAAAACCCAACTCACCTCATTTAAAGAATTCCTTTTTAAACATAAAATTTCAATGGTTCAGAAAAATATGGAGAATAATATACATCTATATATCCACTACCTTGACTTAACAAGTCTTAACATTCTGTCATGTTTGCTTCAGATCTTTTCTTTTTTTAAAATATATTTTTTTATTGATTTCAGAGAGAAAGGGAGAGGGAAAGATAGAAACATCAATGATGAGAGAGAGTCATTGATTGGCTGCCTTCTGCACACCCCCCCCCACTGGAGATTAAGCCCGTAATCTAGGCATGTACCCTGACCGGGAATTGAACCGTGACCTCTTGGTTCATAGGTTGACGCTCAACCACTGAGCCATGTCAGCCGGGCAAGATCTTTTCTTTAAAAAAGGATAAGTTATACATACAACTGAAGCTTCCTTATCGTCTTCCCAGAGTCACACTCTCTTCTCTCACGGACTGTAGAGGTAGTCATTTTTTTAAAGAAGATGTGTACCCTTCTTACACTTTTACTACCTATTTGTGTTTTTATTTTTATTTTTTTTTATTTTTTTTTATTTTTTTTTTTTTTTGTTGTCTGTACCTTATCATTTTTAATTTCAGTGTCTAATTCTTCTGTCACAGGGGCTTCACCCCTGGCTCCCCGATTGCCGGATCAGGTGAGCTACTGTACTTCATGATTCACTCTCTCTTGCATACATGGTGTATCCTATGCTCGCCGCCAGCACCAAACTCAGGACCTCTTACAGGGGTGTCCCATCCGCTTTTGCAGTAATTGCCGTGCCCCCATCATACCCATCTCCTGTGTGGCTGTAACAATATTCACAGGGATTGGACCATAATAAGTCAGAAGGGGCCTTCGTGGTGGTGGTGGTGCCCATTTTTTTTTATTGAAATGTTGATCTTCCTTTTGTTTAATGGATGAGTTCAGTATGAATTTTGGAGAATAGGTCCTTATCTGAAAAAACATTGGCAAATATCTTCTCGCAGGCAGTGGACTTCCTTGTTTTGTTGTTGTTGTTGTATTTGTTGGCTTCTTCTTTGCAGAAGTGTTTTAATTTGACGTCGTCCAATTTGTTTCTTTTCGCCTCAGTTTCCATTGCCCTAGGAGCTGCATGAGTAAAGGTATTGCTGAGACAGATGCCTGATATTTTGCTTCTTCTAAGATTTTCATGGTTACCCACCTACGTTTAAGTCCTTTATTCATTCCCAGTTTATACTTGTATGGTGTAAGTTGGTGGTCTAGACTAATTTTTTTGCATGTATCTGTTATATGTCCAACACCAATTATTATATGTTTTTATTTTGGCTTTGTAATATCTTTAACGAAACAAAGTAAAATTTCCTCTATGTTAATTGAGTCATACTTTCTCTAAATCTGGCCTTTAAAAAAAATCCCCTGGGGCACAGTCCAATCTGTTCTTTGATTTTCCTTCCACTGATCCCAAATTTCGGCTGTAGTCTGCATTCTTTCAAAAGACAAAAGCAGAGCCGGAGGCCTCAGAGCCGCCCACAGCATTCTCCTGCCCGCAGGAGGTGCAGCGCCCATCCCCATCTGGACCTTGGCTGCCAGGGACAGTCAAAGCCTGAGACTCAAAGTGGCAGCATGTCATCGCCTTCACCGGCCTGTCTCCAGCAGCACAAAACCAGTCCTCCCAGCCAGTGCTCTGGGGACTGGCCGTCAGGGCCATGTGATGGCGCTGTCCCCTGGCAGCCGAGAGTCCCAGGCTTGTCTTTGGGCAGGCCTGGGCCAGGGCCTTTGGGAATCTCTGTGTCCATGGTATAAATCCGAGTGAGATTAGACACAATGTTATCAATGATTGGCTTGGTAAGGTCGCCACTAAACATCTGCCACCATGGCTTCTCGGCCTTGGCCTTGGCGGGCACCTGGACACCATAGACCTGCAGGGCCAGATGGAGCACCGCCACCGCTATGTGCTGAGCCTGGAACCGGAAGCACAGCCCCCCATGGTAGCTGTCCCGCAGCAGGGCCCAGGCAGTGATGGAGATGGGGGTCCTTTGCCAGCTGTAAGGATTCAGCCAGTTCTTGAGAGAAATCAGGTAGTGGAGCAGGTACCTGTGTGGGTGCTGAAAGGAGACTTGGAAGCGCAGTACCCGCAGCACAAGGAGCTCGCACTGCACAATGCTGTCCCGGATCACCCAGAATAGGGAGTCCATCTCTGCTGGGGTTGGACCCCAGCAGGTCCAGGGGTCCCCAAAGGTGTGGGCGGAGTCGGCAAAGAAGGAATGACGTGGAGACAGTGTTCAGTTGATGAGCAGCCTAGCCAGGATCTCCAGCCAGGATCTCCAGCCAAGTTCTGGTCTGGATCTCCAGAGAGTTTCTGGTTCGGATCTCCAGCCAGGTTCTGTGTCCATGTTCTCTTGCTAGGTTCTCCAGCCAGGTTCTGTCCAGGTTCTCCAGCCAGGTTCAGTCACCAGGTTCTAGTCAGGTTCTCTTGCCAATTTCTGTAGTCAGGTTCAGTCCAGGATCTTTTGCCATGTTCTCTTGCTAGGTTCTGTCTCTAGGTTCTGAGGCCAGTTTCTGTCCAGGATCTTTTGCCATGTTCTCTCCAGCGAAGTTCTTCTGTCTCTAGAGAACTTTCTGTGTAGGTTCTGTGTCTCCTGGTTCTGTCTTCTTCTGGTTCCGTATTCTAAGTTCTGTCCCTATTTGTGTTTTTAGAAACAATTATCGTAACGTTTTATATGTTTAAAAATTTACATAAATTATTCCCGCCTTGTCATTTTGTAGTTTCCATTTTTATTCAACATTTCTTTTGAAATCTAGGCATATTAATGTATAAATTAAGTTTATTTTACTTTTTCTAAAGTGTTTTATTGTAAAGATGTATCATTCTGCTATTGATGGATGATTAGGTTGTTTCTAACCAACATAGCATGCACATACTTGTACAGTACCTGTCTCCTTGCAGATAGGAAATATTCCTTTCTATCTTGCTTCAATGAAGACATTTGCTTAAGCTGATGAGGTGGCTTTTTTTTTCTTCTTCTTTTTAAATGAAGCACAGGTAATTGATAAAAAAGAAACACCCCAGAATGCTATTTTTTTAAATCCAGAATCATCAGTGTCTTACTATCTACCTTTGCATAATTTTTTATTTCTTTGTCAAATGCCTGAAAAGAGAATACCAGAAAATATGAAACCTAAGCCTTTTTTTTACTTGGAAATGGTACTTCTATTTAGGATCATGTAAGTCATTTGTATATACAGAACTTCTGTTTAGAATTCAGTGGTGAATCTACCTCAGGAAAATAAAATGAAGAAGATATTTTTATGTATCAGCATTTGAATGCTGCTTTTTGCGGAAGCAATCTTATGGTTGAAAAGAATCTTGCCAATATCCTCCCCTGTTCCTGCCCACCCAAGTTATGATAGAATACTGACTAAATAATTCAGGAAGGCTGTGGAACCTAATCTCTCATTTCTCATTTCTATAGGGAATAAGCCAGGGCGCAGTTTACCTTTGATTCTTTTTCTCTTGGTATTCCTGATTTTACTTTATCAAGTGGCTGATCAAGGGTCAAATTATTCTTCCTTGCTTCACTGTCTTCAAGCAGGGGACTACAGCTGTAACTGTTATCTGTAAAACAAAACCCTCTTGGACATAAGCAGGAAACTCTTGGTTTTGGTAGTACCTGAAAATGTAAACAGAATACAAATCGAAACCTCTAATTTTAAAGAGTAGAGACTTTGACAATTTAGATTTTCTGATTTCGATTTTGGCATATTTTCTTTATATTTGTTTTTTTTTTTCATTTCCACTAAACATACAAAATCCTTACTCTACTTAGTCAATGGTGTGTAAAATATGCAGAATTTATATAAGTTGCACTTTCAGGTATGTATTTCTTGTTTAAGATACTCATTTGTATAACTATTCCATGCTTATTTATTATCTGTGAGTTATATTCCTGGTTTGTATTTTAGCAGATTTTCATATATATATATATATATATATATATATATATATATATATATATACATACATATACACACACACACACACACACATATATATATGTATATATATAAATTCACATGAGAATTTTTTTGGCATAAATAAAATATTTATTTTTGTACCCTGTTTTGCTCATTTTGCTATATATCTTGAGTACATGTCATGTTAATAAGCTGATCTATTATCATCAGTTTTCTTGGGTACATAGCTGTTCCTTATATGGATGACTGTAATTTAACTCTTGGACATTTCTTTATTTATAGTTTTTCATTATTAGAAATGCTATCATGAGTATCCTTACATACAGATTTTTAAGTACATGAATGTCCATTTCCCCATAGGCCGAAAGTGCTCATTTCTTAAACATATGTAAATCAGAGAAAAAAATGGAGAAATAAAATAGAAAAACTCGACTTCCACCTTTTTCTAGAAGCGGTTTAAGAAACACATAAAAAATTAGCATGAACATACCTTGACTGGAATTCACAAGAAGTAATTGTGATTTTAGCTTGTCAATAATAGTTTGTTGAAGTGACAGCTGTTCCTGTTGCTCACGTATTCTCTGCTCATAGTTTTCAGTCTGCTGACATAAAAACCAGTTAGCCTGATATTTACTGAGATATATACATACATTTACTGTCTATTAATAATTATATATAGATATGAGTTGCCCATATTGCTATTTCCCAGGTATTGAGCATTTATTTATGATCTAAAAATTGGCTCCAGTAATGTATTTAAAATCATTACAAACATCTGTGATTGGAAACGCTTTACAATTTAAAAAATAATCTTAAAGAAAATTTCAATTAAAAGTTAAACAGATGGTTTCTGGTCCTTCAGTTAGGATAAAAATTATAATTTAGAATTTTATCCTTAATGATAACAAAGAAAGGCATGAATAATAAAAAGACATCATATTAAAGTTTTCTATAAAAATACCCCACTAACATAAAAAAGGTAAGATTTTGTGTCTTTTAAATAATCACACATTTGAACTTATTCTTAGAGGACAAAATAAAAAGGAAGTGGGTATAACTAAAACATTATGAAAACTAAAGGGACACATAAAAATGACAAAATCCAACTGATCATAAACTTCCTTTCTAAAAGTTTTAAGAACTTGAGAAAACAGCTAATTTTTAGTGGATATCTTAAATACCTTAATTTCCCTTATGTTTTTAATCCACCCCTTTTGCTATTTTATTATAATGGCTCTGAGAATTAAGCAGTGAAAGAAGACACAATTTGCAGAATACAGATACTGTAAACCTTCCAGCAAATTTGAAGATGTTGCATTACCATTACCAAATTAGTACAAAGTCTTCAAAATATATTACCAAAAATTAATAGAGATTTTTTTTTTTTACCAATTTCTATCACCAGAAGAACAAATAAATGACTAAACTGTAAATTCCTTGAAATGTGAGATGAGGTCCTAATCCTATCTAATAAAAGAGAAACATGGTAATTGGTGTACGACCGCTACCCTTCCCATTGGCTAATAAGGGCAATATGCAAATTAACTGCCAGCCAAGATGGCGGCCGGCAGCCAGGCAGCTTGAAACTAACATGAGGCTTGCTTGCTTCAGTGACGGAGTACTCCAACGTTCCCCGCCTGCCTTGCTGGCCTCTGAGCCTGCAGTTTAAGAAACATTATAATGAATACAGAAGCTAAACAAAACCCCAGAAACCAGCTTTCAGCGAGCCCGGGATCTCAGAGCTGGAGTTGATACAGAGTTTTGATTATAGAACTGAAACAAACCAGATATCAGCTTTCAGGAGCAGAGGCCTAAGAGCTGGAGCCTCAGAGCTAAAGCTGGCCCAGAATAAAAAAGAAAAAGAAAAAAAGGAGCAGTTGGGAGCTTCAGTTGGCCTGAAAACAGCCCTCAGCCCCTCACCCAGGCTGGCCAGGCACCCCAGTGGGGACCCCCACCCTGAAGGATGTGTGACCAGCTGCAAATAGCCATCATGCCCTCACCCAGGCTGGCCAGGCACCCCAGTGGGGACCGCCACCCTGAACCAGGACACCCTTCAGGGCAAACCAGGCGGCCCCCACCCATGCACCAGGCCTCTACCCTATATAGTAAAAGGGTAATATGCCTCCCAGCACCGGGATCAGCGGAGCCACGAAGCCTCCCGGCACCGGGATCAGCGTGACAGAGGGCAGCGCCCAAACCCCCTGATCAGCCCTGCTCTGTGGGTGATAGAGGGCGGCGCCCCAACCCCCTGATGGGCCCTGCTCTGTGCGTGACAGGGGGCAGCATCCCAACCCCCTGATGGGCCCTGCTCTGTGCGTGACAGGGTACAGAGCCCCAACCCCCCTGATGGGCCCTGCTCTGTGAGTGACAGGGGGTGGCGCCGCAACCTCCCCATCGACCCTGCCTTGAGTGTGACAGGGGGCGGCGCCCCAACTCCCCAATCGGCCCTGCTCTGAGCCCGACTCGGGGCTGCACCTAGGGATTGGGCCTGCCTCTACCACCCAGGAGCAGGCCTAAGCCAGCAGGTCGTTATCTCCCGAGGGGTCCCAGACTGCGAGAGGGCACAGGCCGGGCTGAGGGACCCCCCCCTCCCCCCCGTGCACACAAATTTTTGTGCACCGGGCCTCTAGTAATTTCATAATGTCCCTTCAATAGATATTAAGTATTTGATTTTGAGCTGATTCTTAACCAAAGTTCAAAATCAGTAAAGCTCGATTGTTTTCAGAGACTAATAAGCCTATAAATTACACAGCTGTTCTTAGGTTCCCAAAATAAGGTAGCTTAAGAAATTAAAGCAAAAAAACCACATTTTTCCAAGTAAAAGGTAAACTTTTATAATACACTTTAAACATAACTGACAAATAAACCAAGTGATGTGCATGCTGCCTGAGTGTAGTATTATATAACTTGATACTTCCATAGAGCTCTGCAAGGTAACTTATACATAGGACGTATTCAGTACATGCTTATCCTATCTAATAAAAGAGAAACATGGTAATTAGCCGTACATCCGCTACCCTTCCCATTGGCTAATCAGGGCGATATGCAAATTAACTGCCAGCCAAGATGGCGGCCGGCAGCCAGGCAGCTTGAAACTAACATGAGGCTTGCTTACTTCAGTGACAGAGGACTCCAAAGTTCCCTGCCTGCCGCTGCCGGCCTCTGAGCTTGCAGTTTGAAACATTGTTACAAATATAGAAGCTAAACAAACTCCAGAAACCTGCTTTCAGCCAGCTGGGATTTCAGAGCTGGAGTTGATACAGTGTTTCGATTATAAAACCCAAACAAACCAGATACCTGCTTTCAGCAGTGGAGGCC